CAAGATTCTATAACTTAATCATTTATAGCTTACTTTGTCGCAGCATAATTATGGATTCACCTCACTAATTCCCCAATAACACTGTGAGCTCCTTAAAGATAAGGACTCATTTTACATATCCAGGGCTGATCACAACTCTTGCCTAAGGTCAGAAGTTCAATAAACAGATGAGAAACCAAGAAGGTGATCAACCCTGAGCACTAGGGCTCACAGTGTTTCTGCTGTAAGTTTATAAAACACTTGTGCAATGGTCCTGAAACTGTCTGCCCACTGGGAAAGTAATCTACTACATTTCTCTTACATGTACTTACAGTGTTTCTCTGCAATATGCATATGTGCGTGCTTACACAATATGCATAAGTGTAGAGTTTTCAAACTCTACACTTACCAAGGGTAGAGATTACATCAAAACCCTACAGCGGGACCCACTGATACAGGTACTTGAGCATGGCCACAGGGAAGGATATACACATAGTTGTGTTCAGCCAGTGCCCTAAAATTCAACACCATTGTGTGGAGATGGCAGTAAAGTTACAAACCTACCTTACAGAGATCCAAGAGTCACACCTTAAAGTTCTGATCTCTTCGTAATGCAATTTAAGGTTTATTATGAAACTCTGTGTACAGGAATCTAGGTAATTTTTATTATTATTTGAGGGGGGGGGGAGAGACAGAGAGAGAGAGAGAGAGAGCGCGCGAGCACGAACAGTGGAGATGGGCAGAGGGAGGGAATCCTAAGTAGGCTCCACACTTAGCACAGAGCCAGACACAGGGCTCAGTCCCACAACCTGAGGCGAAATCAAGTCAGCCACTCAACCGACCAAGCCACTCAGGCGCCCCTAGACAATTTTCATATGTACAGGGAGGGATATCCTCACTGCTCTAACATTTTATAACGCTTTATTATTCTAAGTTATTCCACCCAAATATTAAAACTTAAAATCAAAAATAGAATTACTCCAACCTTAAGTATACTTTAAAAATTAGTAGTTGAGGTACATTAGCAAGCGCTGAATGCTCTACAGAAGAATCATTTTAAAAATATCAAAATAGGGGTGCCTGGGTGGCTCAGTCGGTTAAGCGTCCGACTTCAACTCAGGTCACGATCTCACGGTCTGTGAGTTCGAGCCCCGCGTTGGGCTCTGGGCTGATGGCTCGGAGCCTGGGCCTGCTTCTGATTCTGTGTCTCCCTCTCTCTCTGCCCCTCCCCTGCTCATGACCTGTCTCTCTCTCTCTCTCAAAAAATAAAATAAATAAGTACATAAATAAAACATTAACAAATGTCAAAATATTTGAATTTTGATGTATGGGTTAACTGTCTTTAGGCTAACTGTTCTCTGTGCTGTTCTAAGTAATTTAACTTTTGTTATCCTTATAACCCAATTTACAGTGAGGAAAGCTGAGGCAATGATGATGTACTTGACCAACAATACACAACTAGCAAGTGACTGAGCAGGGATTAAAATCTAGCCCATGCTCTGAACCACTATGCCATACACTAAAAATAGCAATTCCCCAGATAAGGGCCCAAAAGTGTTTATCCAAGTGACAGGATAGGCTATAAATGTGTTTTAGTGTTCTCTCCAACTATTTCATAGTTACTTCAAGCATTTAAATAAAACATCTAATATTTTAAAGTTAACCTGTGTGTCAATCCTGCAGGATTATTCTCTATGGGAATACTTTATACAATAAACCAAAAATGCTTGCTTTAGTGCTGTATTGCACTGTGAGGTCTCTTAGTAGTATGCTCTTTCGAGTACACTGTAAAGACAAAGGGAACTACCAAATAAAAAAATTAAAAAGCATCTGAAGAAACAATAAAATGTCCCTATAAAAAGAAAATACTGGGGCACCTAGGTGGCTCAGTTGTTTAAGCATCTGCCTCTTGGTTTCAGCCCAGGTCATGATCTCACGGTTCGTGAGTTCGAGCACTGTCCACATGGGGCCTACTTGGGATTTTCTCTCTCTCTCTCCCGCTCTCTGTGCCCCCCCTCACTCATGCACGCTCTCTCAAAATACATAAATTTTTTTAAAAAAAGAAAAGACAATGGTACAATAATGGTACCATCGTGCTTAATATTATAGGGCTCTGTTAAAATGTATTTTATGAAATACATATGAAATGACTCTTACATATGAGAAAAGAACAACACAGGGGCTCCTGGGTGGCTCGGTCGGTTGAGCATCTGACTTTGGCTCAGGTCATGATCTTGCAGTTCACAAGTTTGAGCCCTGCGTCGGGCTCTATGCTGACAGCTCCGAGCCTGGAGCCTGCTTTGGATTCTATGTCTCCCTCTCTCTCTACCCCTCCCCTGCTCATATTCTCTCTCTCAAAAATAAATAAAAAACATTTTTAAAAATTTTAAATAAAAAAGAACAAAACGATTCCAAAATATCTTCAATTTGTATGACTACCAATTAAAATATTTCCTTTGTACCTTTTTCTCATGACCACTCTACGTCTCATATTCTCCCTCACTTGAAATAAAGTTGTCCTTATGCCACTCATTTTTCTAATTAAGTTTCAAATACTTTCTAAAATTAGGTTGAACCACATAAAAGTCCCCTTTTCAACCACTTTTACCTATGGGATGGACGCTTCACATGCTTTCATCTAAAAACCTTCCCCAATTCAACATATCAAAAAGAATAAATGTACTTAACAAAGTTATGACTATTCCATTACTGTAATACTTTCCTGGTAGCAAGTAAGAGAATAAAGTTTATACTGTTTTCAGACTCAATAGGTTAGAAAATAAAAATAAAAAATAATCATTCTCATGAGAAAACATTCACAATACATTGTAAAGTGAAAAAGACAGAGTTACAAAACAGTATGATACCAATTTCACTTATACATAAAAATACCAAATATTACAACTCCGTTTTAGACTTCGGGATTTTTATTCTCTTCATCTGACAGTTCTGTTTTCCTAATTTTTTAATTAAAATGTAGTATTACTGTGGTTTATAAAAAAGTTTATAAACAAAGTCAATCTTTGCTTAATTCTTTACCAAAAAGATATTCAATTAATCAATGAAATAAATACATGTGCGATCTAAAACAACTATGAAAATTTTAGATAGTCTACATCTTTTTGTTAACTCAGTAACAAAGCCCATGAGAAATAACACAGTAACTTGTTATTTCTAAGAACACTGATCACGTGCTTTGTTGGTATGGACAAACAGCTTTACTCCATACATGAAGTAAATAAGCCTAATTAACAGTTGGGTTTGGTTTCATCACTATTATAAAATGATAATTTGTGCTGCTAACAAATAAAGACCAGACCAAGAAATTCAGACATAAGCTATCAATACAGAGTAGAGAAACTGAAGGACACTAAAAATCAGAAGTAAACATGAGAAATAAAGGATAAACAAAAATGTTATATTCCTCTACTACATGTATAAAAAAATTTTATAACAAAACTATATGTTTTGATATTTAAACGAACAAATATAAATGCTATAATTATCTTCTGGGGGTATCTTATTTTAAAAATTCTGATAAATGGAATCCAGATGTGGATTAAACTAATTAAACTAATTTTACCTGAGTTCATTGCTAACTACCTAAAATAAGCTTTGATATGTATGTAAGTTCTAAGATTCTGCTGATTAACCAGCTAAGTAAGCAATCCTACCCAGACTGGGTTCTTTTATTTATAAACCAAACATTCTAAAAACTACAGGGAGAAAGGTTCATGTTGAATAGACAAATGGACCATAAGGTAAACAGCTCAATTAGTCCACTGTGGTTTACTGCCCTCTGGCTGTTGTGGCAAAGGATATCACAGATTTAAAAAAAAAAAAAAAAAAAAAAAAAAAAAAAAAAAAAAAAAAAAAAAAAAAAAAAAAAAAAAAATGGCTGCAAAGAAAAGCTAGTAAGATATCAAACAAAACTTGGCAGGAAAATTCTTTAGCCATATTCAGACACCTTAGAATAGAACCTCAAGTACACATTACAGTTAATTTTACTCTTTCCTTTAAAAAAAAAAGCACTAAATATATCAACTAACAAAACATCTCAAACATTATCTGAACTTTTTCAACCACAAACTAACAAAATATAGAGTAGTTTGGACATAATTAAAGTTGGCTCTAGCAGAGTTAAGTCAAAAAGGGTTAATGCACTACCCTAAAGATTGTAATTAATCTTGATTTAGAAAAATTATTTAGCATACTAAATGGAAACATTTAGGTAAAGAAGTAAAAAAACTTTACCGACATTCAAACAATAGTGATAAAATTTCCCCTGGTTATAAATCTACAATAAATACAAAAAATAGCTTAGAGTAATGAAACTCTTAGATTAATTCAAAGTTTCCACATATCAGCTATAATCTGAAGTTAAAAATTAGACAACATGGAGAGCAAGTATTTCCTGGAATCACCTAATTATATAAAAAGCAGGAACAAAACAAAGGAAAACTTGCTACCTCAAAATCAGATCAGATTATTTAATCTTTCTACAAAATACTATCCAATGTCATCTCATAATCTTTTCCAATAAGGCTTGTACTAACTTTTATTATCACTTTACAACTTTCCATCAGTGTTCAGCTGGTAATGAACCACAACAGCCACAGTCCAAGAAAAAACAATTCTGTTCATTTCACAGACTTGCTAATTACTCACTCACTATCATTTTAAAACAGTGGATCTTAGCCTTGTTCCACCCCAAAACACCCAGGGGACACAGTATTTTCCTTTAGTAACAGTGGCTCACAGGTTCTGGTTCCTATCATGACTGGGAAACAACAAGCAAATTTGAAAAAAATAACGGAAGTAGAAAGAAGAGGAGTAAGAGTGAGGATATTCCTTTCAAGAGACATACCCATTAAACACTTGAATTTTTCTCAGCAAGTTTTAATAAATTCTTTTTGGAACTTACTACTGTTAAATAATTATAATTTTACACACACACACACACACACACACACACACACACACACGATGGTAACAGTTTTTAAGAAAAAACAAAACCTTACCCTGCAGTTCATGATGTATTACACCCACTAGGTTGGGTTCATCTCCCCACCAGAAAATCCATAACTCTTTGCAATCTGGTTTGACATCGCGACGCCATACACACAGCAAGTTGGCTTGCAAACAGCGGATGAAACTTAACAGGATTGGATCATCTTGGGCTGGGGCTGAAATTATGGGTCCACAGTCCCCATGCCCTCCAAAATTGTACCTACGCCATTTGATTCCCGTGAGTTCAGCCTGGAAAAAGACAAGAAAATTACAATGGTTTTGATATTTCTTTTTACTTACAGAACACTTAAAAACAGGCTTCCATTACAGATAAGCAAATCTGCTACAATAAATATTGTCACTATACTTCACCTAAGAGTTCTCTTACTGAAAAATGTTTGTCAATCCTCCTTGATTTTTAAAGGGAGAAAAAATTCATTTTTTAAAAATTTTTTAACATTTATTCATTTTTGAGAGTGAGAGAGACAGAGCATGAGCAGGGGAGGGGCAGAGAGACAGGGAGACACAGAATCCGAAGCAGGCTCCAGGCTCTGAGCCATCAGCCCAGAGCCCGACGCTGGGCTCGAACTCACAGACCGCGAGATCATGACCTGAGCCGAAGTCGGACGCTTAACCGACTGAGCCACCCAGGTGCCTCAAAACTTCATTTTTTTATATCAAGATTTCTACATGGCTCTTCATATTAAATACCAAATCACCACAAACAAATGATTATTATTTCCGGTTGAACCATTTTTACCCAGAATGTACTATAAAGTCCTTACATATAAAAGCTATTTTCTATTATTTCTTATTTGATTCATAAATTATATTTAGAAATCAGGTAAGAGGAAGTCTAGGTGGCTCAGTAAGTTAAGCATCCGATTCTTGATTTCAGCTCAGATCGTGATCTCACCGTTCATGAGACCAAGCCCCATGTCTGTGTCTGTGCTGATGGTGCAGAGCCTGCTTGGGATTCTCTCTCTCCCTATCTCTACCCCACTCGCACACACATGCATGCTCACTCTCTCTCTCACACAAAATAAATAAATAAACATTTTCAAAAAAGAAGAAATCAGGTAAGAGTTTAAAAAATAAGTTCAGAAAACTGAAATCATTTTTTTCAAAGAATTTCCTCAATTCCTTCCCATCCAGAAGCTAGTTTCAATCTTTCTTAATCAAGAAAACAGTTATCATGCAGCATCATAGTGCTTCATCATTAACGCCAAAGCAAGCTACTAACAAAACTGATGCAAAGTTATCAGCAATTTATTCATGTTTTTGTCTTTTGTCTTCCAAACACATTTTAAAACATGGAAACTAAACCAGCTGCAAGCAGAACCCGGGTTTTTATCCCATTACCTACATTTGTATTTTAAAATTTCTTAAATCTTAGAGGGGGCTAAGCAGCTAAAACTCAAAGATGGTTCAACACAAACAGAAGCTGAATTCCTTATTTAAATAGCTATAAACTACAACTATATATACAAAACTGGTAATAAAAGGGATTCATAGTATCATTCTGCACAAGACTCCATGTGTCCCTTGCATTCAATCCTTACCCACTCATCTTCCCTCCCCACCACCACCAAGTCAATTTTTGTCAGTTGTTTTTCAAAAATCAAGTATAAGATAGAAAAAAACAGTATCTCCTGCTAACATAACTGAAACAAATTTAAAGTGCTGAAACAATCAATCACCATAATGAACAAAACACATTTAAGAAAAAAATATCAATTTTATTCAATCCCATAAAATGTGTCACTTCAAAAAAAATTGTTCCAAATATAATAATGTCCAAATTAAAACTGTCTGGCATTCAGTGACTTACCCCCCTTCACATTGTGAGATATGCAAATCCAATCTCTAATGAATATTCTTGGTAAAAGCATCATTTATGCTTTCCCCTTTATGCCACTTTGTTTTCTTAGTATGAAAGTACTACATGGACAATGCAGTAAGTTCAAAAATAAATAATATAAATTAAAAGTAAAATAATCACACCAGGAGGGGCACCTGGGTGGCTCAGTCAGTTAAGCATCCAATTTCGGCTCAGGTTTGATCTCACCGTTCCTGAGTTCAAGCCCCCCATCAGGCACTGTGCTGATAGCTTGGAGCCTGGAGCCTGCTTCAGATTCTGTGTCTCCCTCTCTCTCTGACCCTCTCCTGCTCACACTCTGTCTCTCTCTCTCTCAAAAATAAACATTAAAAATAGTAATAATAATTTTAAAAATAATAACACCAGGAATATTTTCCATAATCACATCAGAAATAATTATT